AACAAAAACAAAACTACATACACACACACACACACACACAAAAAAAAAAAAGTAAAGAAAAATGACACCTCCAAAGAAGTACAATAATTCCCCCAGTACTGGAATCAAGGAAAAGGAAACTTGTGAAATGTTTCAAAAGGAAATCAAAATAATAATCTTTAAAAAGTTCATTGAGAAATAAGGGAATACAAAAAAGTCAGTCATGATCTGAATAAGAAATTCAACAAAAATATAACATGAGAAGAATCAAACAAAAACCCTGCAACTGAAGAAATCAAGAATGAAATGAAACAACTGAGACCCAATCGACTAGATCAAGCAGAAGAAAGAATTTCTTAACTTGAAGACAGATCTTTTAGATTAACCCACTCAGAAGGTAACAACAACAATTTAAACAAAGAATAAAGAGAGCAAAGAAAGCTTATGCAAAATTGGGACATTCCTAATAAGCAATCAGATATTGAACTATGGGGTTTCCAGAAGGAAAAGAGATGAAGAAAGCCACAGAAACATATCAAACAGAATAATCATTGAACACTGCTCAAGTCTTGAGGGAGACACTGACATCAAACCCATAAAGCTCATAGGCTTACCTGGAAGAGGTTCTCTCCAAGGCACATTAAAACCAAGTGCAGAAGTCAAGACAGAATTCTAATAGTAACAAAAGAAAAAGTGTGATGTGCTAGGAAATCTACAACACTGGACTAACAGCAGGATTCCCAGCAGAAACCTGCAAGCCAGCAGAGTGCTAAAGAAAAACAGCTACCAGTCAAGAATAATATACCCAGCAAAGCTACTCTTCAGAAATCATGGAGAAGTAAAGCTTTTTCTCAAAAAAAAAAAAAAAGCTGGATTGGTTTTATAAGAAATGCTTAAGGAAGTCCTACATTTGGAAGCAAAAGGGTGATAATTACCATCATGAAAACAGAAGACTTTCATAAATACATACACAAAGGAGAAACAGAAAATAGTGAAATCTTATTACTACAGAAAAGTATCAAATCACAAAGGTCAATAAGAGAGGAAGAAACAAAGGATATACAAACAGAAAAAAATTAACAAAATGACAAGAGTAGATCACTACCTATTAACAGTAACTCTGAATGCAAATGAATTAAATTTTCCAGTTAAAAGATATAGATAGGAGCTGGCGCTGGGGCTCAGCAGTAGAGCACTTGTCTCACTATGTGAGGCCCTGGGTTCAATCCTCAGCACCACGTAAATAAAATAAAGGCATGGTGTCCAGCTAGAACTCAAAAAAAAAAAAAAAAATTAAAAAACAGATATAGACAGACTAGGTTTAAAAAAAAAAAAAAAGCAAAACACAACTATATGTTGCCTATAAACAACTTGCTTCACTGATAAAGACACCCAGAGACCAAAAGTGAAGAGATGGAAAAATATATTCTATGCAGCTGAAAACCAAAAGCAAGCTAGTAGCTACTCATTCCAGATAAAACAAACTCTACATCAAAAATCATAAAAAGGGCAGGGGCTGTGGCTCAGTGGTAGAGCGCTCGCCTAGCATGTGTGAGGCCCTGGGTTCGATCCTCAGCACCACATTAAAATGCATAAATAAAATACAGGTATTGTGTCCAACTAAAAAAAAAAAAAATACCACAAAAAAATCATAAAAAGACAATTGCAGAAGCTTGAGTAAAGTACAGTAAAAGAGGAGGGAAGGATAAGATAACATAAAGAACCAATCAAATAAATTAATAGACAAGCAAAAGGAAGACTAGTAGAGAAAGGAGAATGGGAGGATCACGCACTGAAACTGATCTCCATGATGGACAAGTTTGTCAGAATGAACCCAATACTATGTACATCTACAAAGTTCCAATTAAAAAAAAAAAAAATGACCTTAAAAACAGTGAAAGAAAAAAATACATAAAAAGTGGCAGAGAAGGTCATTACACAGTGGTAAGAGGATTTTATATATACACATAGATATATATAAATTCGAGGAGACAGATACACATATATAAATAAATAAATATTATGTATATCCACATCCCAACAGAGGATCACTGAAATATAAAAAAGCGAATATTACTAAATCTAAAAGGAAATACAAATACAAACAGAAAAAAATTACATAAATGACAAGAGTAGATCACTACCTGTCAACAGTAACCTTGACAGGTTAACCTTCACTACAAATACAATAGTTGGGTACTCCATCACCTATATGGATAGATCAATCATCCAGACAGAAAATAAGCAAAGAAACACCTGAGTTAAACTATACTGTAGACCAAATGAAACCAATTTACAGAATATTTCACCTAATGTTTTTCTCATCAGAACATGAAAAAATTTCCAAGATAAACCTTGTTACAAAACAAGTCTCAACAATTTTTTAATAATCAAAATCATTATTATGTATCATTTCTGACCATATAAAATGGAATAAAATTAGAAGTCAACAAAAGGACCTGTGGGAATTGTACAAATACATGGGAATTAAATAACATGTTACTGAATAACCTGAAGAATTAAAACAGAAATTTTAAAATGTCTTAAGATAAATGAAAAAAGAAGTATAATACACCAAAACCTATGGGAAACAGCAAAAGAAATACTATGAGTGAAATTGAGCAATACATGTCTTCAATACATGTCTTCTTCAAAAAAGGAAAAAGATCTCAAATAAACCATTTAATAGTGCAACTCAAGGAACTGAAACAGCAAGAGCAAACCATACTCATAACTAATAGAAGGAAGAAAGGAAGTGGAGAGAGAAAAGAAGGAGGGGAGGGAGGTGGAGGGGGGAGGAGAGGGGGAGGAAAGGAGGGAGGGAAGAGAAAAAAGGAAAAAAGAAACAATAAATTGAGACTAAAATAATACAAAAGATCAACAAAAGAAAATTTGGGGTTTTTAAAAAGATAAACAAAATTGACAAACCTTTAACTAGACTAAGAAGAGAGAGGGGAGCGGGGAGGACAGGGAGGAAGAAGAGCCAAGTAAATAAATAAAATCAGAAATGAAAAAGGATTTATTAAACTGATACCACAGAAATACAAAGATTATTCTGGACTATTACGTACAACTTCATAACAACAAATTGGAAATCCTAGAAGAAATGTGTAACTTCCCAGACACACATAACCTACCAAGACCGCATCATGAAGAAACAGAAACCTAAACAAACCAATAATGAGGAATGAGTGGCAAATAAGTATATGGGAAAATGCTCAACATCACTGATCACCAGGGAAATTCAAGTCAAAACCACAATAAGATGTCACCTTACCCCTATGGCTACTACCAAAAGATAAAAAATAATAAGTGCTGGTAAGGATACAAACAAAAGAGAACTCTCAAATACTGTTGGTGGGAACATAAATCATACAGCAATTATGGAAAACAGTATGAAGGTTCCTCAAAAAAAAATTAGAAATAGAACTACCATATAATCTTGCAATCCCAGTACTGAGTGTACATATCCAAAGGAAATAAAATCAGTATGTCAAAAACATATCTGCACTCCCATTCCATTGTTTATTGTAGCACTATTCACAAGAGCCAAGATATGAAATAGCCTAGACTTTCATCCGTGAATGAATGAATACATGTCTGTTGTGGAATAGCATTCACCTATGAAAAATGAAACCTTGTGATGTGTGGCAACAGGAATAATCCTTGAGGACATCATGTTAAGTAAAGTAAGTGAGGCATAAAAGGACAAATACTACACTTTCTCATTTATATGCGGAACCTAAAAAAAAAATGGTCTCAATATTAGAGGATGGGAAGGGCATGGGAAAGAAGGGGATGGGAAGAAGGTGGTCAACAAGTAGCCAGATAGGAGGAATAACCTGTAATGTTCTACAGCAAATAGGGTAACTATGGCTGACAACAATTAATTGTATGTTAGCTAAAGAGGATTCTGAATGTTCCAACATAAAGAAATGATAAATATTTGAGATAATGGATATGCCAATTACTCTGATTTTATCATTATACACTGTATACTGTTTGAAATATCACACTGTATTGCATAAATACACACTATTTGTCAATCAAAATAAAGTACATATTAGAAATAAAAGTGATCTATAATAAATATAGTCTTTAAAAGCTTTCAAGTTATGAGAGGCAGTCTAAGCATTATGAGTGTTTCAGACTATTCAGGTAAATTCACAATGTGTCCTCCTCTCTTTCTGGCACATGAATAAAGAGGATGAAGCATTCAACAAACAAACAGACCTTTCTAGCTAAGCCAGAAGAGCAAAGTAAGAGCAGGCTTTCATTACATTCTACTAATCAAAATAAATGGAAGACTCTGCCTATGGCTAAGTTAAAAAATATATATATATATATGGCTGGGGTTGTGGCTCAGCGGTAGAGCGCTCGCCTAGCATGTGCGAGGCCCTGGGTTCGATCCTCAGCACCACATAAAAATAAAATAAAGAGGTTTAAAAAAAAAATGTTCCAAGCAGGAAGGTAGTTTCCAGAGAGCTTGGGAGAGTTTCTAATATGTAGAATGACACTGTGAACTTAAGGGACTTGGGCGTGGGTAGGCTTTAACTCTATGGTAGCAGGTAAGCTAGAAAGAAACAAACTTTCTGATTTTGTCTGAGAATTATACTGAGCCTTGATTAAATGAAAATCAGAAAAACTAATGATTAGTGAGAAACACAACAACTTAAAAAAGGTATTCATTTGATCAAACACTTATTCTGTAAGACTATGTGATATTGCTGTTTAATTTATTTTTTATTTACAGAAATAACATCTTGGAAATTCTTAAAATTGGCCTCTAGCTCAGACCTGAGGGGGAAAAAAACAAAACAAAAGACAATAGCTTCAACCCTCCAAGCCCATGTTTGGCACACCGCCACAGCACCTAATTCAAACCCATGTGTTCTGGATGTCCACAGACCTCCCCTGACATTCACAAACCGTGTGAGACACATAAACATCTCCAGCAATGCTGCCTTTCATTACCATGCAAGCAACATTCTTATACCAAAACTACTTTAATAAATTCTCACCTTCCACGGCCTTCTAATTCCTTTGAAAAAATCAGGCATCCACATTGGAAGAACAACAGCTTCTCTTAGCAATTTCTTTGCTTCTTCCAGATCTGCTATATCATCCCTGTGTAAGAACAACAAAGTTTTATGATGTTTATCCAGGATGCTATGATTTATGGTCGAAACTAATTCTTTTATATTTTTTACTTATGAAATTATTTTAATATTAAGAACATTGTTCTAATCCTTACTGCATAAAATGATGAGTGAAAATACTACAGTTATTAGGACATGTTATTTAATTAATGAACTTTGTCAGTTAAATCAACATCAAATTAATGTGAAATATCCTTGGTTTTATACACATACACACACACACACACACACACACACACACACAAAACCACTGAGCCACAACCCCAGCCCTTTTTTATATTTTATTTAGAGACAGGGTCTCACTGAGTTGCTTAGGGCCTCACTAAGTGGCTGAGGCTGGCTTTGAACTCACAATCCTCCTGTCTCAGCGCCCCCTAACCACTGAGATTACAGATGTGCACAAACACATCCGGTTCCTTGGTTATATTCTGACAGAAGGTTCCCATCAATTCTATGTACTCATATTATCAATAAAGACTTAATCAATAGATTAATGGATAAAAAGAAAAGGCTCAACACCAAGTCAATCTATGATCTGTTTTCTCCTCTACTTTACTTCAAGAATTTAAAAGACTCTAACCAATGAATGCTGGGATTCCTGGATACAATGTCTCTCTCAAGGGCTTCCACCAGATCCTTATCATATCCAGCACCATCAAATTTTGGAATTTCACCATCACTTGCACCATCTTGCATATTTTTTCTTCCCTGGGGACAGGTATAAAAAAGTTCTGATCAATAACAAGATCATTTTAATTAACATCATTAAGTTTTCAAAATGTTATAATCACTTTTTTTTTTTTTTAAGTGGGAGTTGAACCAGGGGCACTCTACCACTGAGCTAAACCCTCCGCTCTATTTTTTGAGACAGGTTCTCACTAAGTTGCCCAGACTGTCCTCAAATTTGCAATCCTCCTGTCTCAGCCTCCTGTGTCACTGAGATAACAGTCATGTGCCAACATATCCAGCTATAATCATTTTTAAAATATCTTCCTACAATTTAAAATCATGTTTTCTGATTGTTCAAATGCCTTTCTTCCCTACGTATCAGAATTAGATTAACTGGTCAAATTTATTATAAATATCTTCAAATCTACATTCTTAGGGGGATAATTGCAGATAAAACGAAAATGTTCCTTGCTAGATCCAAACAGACTAAAAAAAGTCTCTCTGAACTGGTAAATGGAGAGGATTTCCACCACTGCTACAGAATAATTAGAATATTAATACATGACAAAACAGAAAATTAATTCACTGAGACTACTATGTAGCAGAAAATCCCATATACATTATTAAATATAGCAACCTGCAGGGTAGACATTATTTTTCCTTCTTTTTATAGATAAGGATAAGTAATTTAAGTTTACTAGTAAACATGAAGGTGGAGATTTATTTTTTAAGGTGAAGATTTATTCCAGTCTGTCTGCCTCCCTAAACCCATACCATTCCATCAGATCATCTCATGTCTAAGATGAATTAAAGAGGGCAGAACTATTAGATTCTCCAAAGAATCTGAGAAAGAGGCTGCAGACGAGGAAATAGTCAGGACTGGGCAACTGCATCTTACTGAGCCTTTTCCTTTAACCATAAGCCCCTCATGATTCAGGGTTTCTTCCAGTGGGTTTTTGAGGCCCATCATAAAGTCACTGTAATGACAAATGATAAAATGACCACTTCAAATCATATTTCTAAGATCATTAAAGCAATATGCTTTTACCCCAAATTCTTCATTTAATGACATGGTGGCTTTATTTTAAAAGTATATGCTAGGGTTTCTAGCTATGGAATATTGCCAAAATTCACTCAGCTTTGAAGACACTTACATAAAACACTAATTTGCCAGAGATAGTTCAACTAGGGAACTACTTTGACAGGCAGAGCCAAATACCATGCCCATAGCATCAGCCCCAAGTTACCACCTAATATAAAAATGAAGGGTGGAAATGGTTAAAGTGAATCAACCTCCTGAAAAAAGACAACAGAACAGGGTGACCTTCTCTGATCCTATTTCTTCTGAGATAAACAAAAGGAACAATAAGTGCTGAGAAGGGACTAAATAGCTCCCTTTTGCAGATCCTCCTGTTATTTTAGCCACCAGGTAAAGACCAAACAGTATTCTAGTGAGCTGACCCCCAAATAAACAATATATCCGGGCAATATGGCAGCAGTATTAAATTAAATTTTCAAGAAAGAGCCTCACATTTCAATGACATATCAATACTGACACTAACCAAAGAAGGAAATTGCTGGCACAATGGCATACGCCTATAATCCCAGCGGCTCTGGAGGCTGAGGTAAGAGGATCACAAGTTCATAGTCAGCCTCAGCAATTTAGGAAAGCACTAAGCAACTCGGTGAGACCCTGTCTCTAAATAAAATACAATATAGGGCTGGGGATGTGGCTCAGTGGTTGAGTGCCCCTGAGTTCAATCCCTGGTACCCCCCAAAAAGAGAAGTAAATTTCTGGCACCTCTACCAAACAAACATAATATAAGTTCAGCACAGAGTCACATTTTATATTACGAACAGGCCAATGCTACAAAGTTATTTAAACAAATCAATGGAACACTCTACGATTATTTTTAAATTATTCTAGAAATAAAATAACTAAGGAATACAAGAGAAACTTACACAACTACAGCTTAACAAGCCTTCACAGGGCATTGTTGCTAGTCTTGTTTTGCATCTTAAGAAATACTGAATAACAAATTATACCCAGGGAAGGATGTCCAGGGTGACAAAGGTTTAAAAAATATGCCACAAGGAAAAGATAAGAACATTAGGGACATCTAAGCTGCAGAAGAAAATGCTAATCCAGCAACACAACCAACTACAACTACCCTGCTCTATCTTACTCCAAAGAAAAGAACCAGGACCCATATGAAGTAACAAAAGAAGCAGATTTCAGATCAACAAAAGAAAGAATTTTTCTAACAATGGTCCTGTCCAACAAAGGAGTCAAATCTCTTGTTAGGCAGTGAGTTGCCTGACATGATTACTGGCTAATCAGTAATAAAAACCACTGGCCTGAAGTCATGAGGATGTCTAAGCTGAATAAGAGCTGACCTTTGATTCTTTCTGTAAAGCCACAGTCTCTCCTTGCCCAGTGTTGCCTGGACTCACTGGCCCAAGGCAAGTGCAAGATTCCTTGCACATCTCATTATTTCTTTTTTTAAAAAAGTAACTTGGTAAGGGAGAGAGAAGGGAAATTGCATGGAAATGGAAGGAGACCCTCATTGTTATACAGAATTACATATAAGAGGAAGTGAGGGGAAAGGGGAAAAAAAACAAGGGAGAGAAATGAATTACAGCAGATGGAGTAGAGAGAGAAGATGAGAGAGGAGGGGAGGGGAGGGGGGATAGTAGAGGATAGGAAAGGCAGCAGAATACAACAGACACTAGTATGGCAGTATGTAAAAACGTGGATGTGTAACTGATGTGATTCTACAATCTGTATACGGGGTAAAAATGGGAGTTCATAACCCACTTGAATCAAATGTATAAAATATGATATGTCAAGAGTTTTGTAATGTTTTGAACAACTAACAAAAAAAAGAAATGCAAAAAAAAAGTAACTTCGTGTTCTCTTTCATATCTATTCAGCATGTCAGACTGATAGCTTAAAGTCATACACTACTTACTGGGTGGCAGGCACTATTGTAACTTCTTGACATATATTAACTCACTTGTTCTTCCTAAAAGTCCCATGGGGTAGATACTTTTATTATTTTTACTTTACAGATGAGAAAACTGAGGATCAGAGAGGATAAGTAAATGGTCCAAAGACACACAGCTAGAACTAGGTGATTCAGCTCCAGAATCGGGGAATTTTGTTCACTCTGGCATCCTGCAGCACACACCTGGGCTACTCCTACCCTGAAGTGAGCAGCAAACCCAGGAAAAGTTGGACAGGGTCGCTAAACTGCATTCTCCCCTAAGATTATTTTGCAAAGTAAAATAGGTTGATATATCAAAACAGTGCTTTATAATTTTGGTGTCATGTACTGCACTGGAAAACTGATACAAAACACATTTAGGTTGAAATAATAGATCCAGAGGATTCTACATACTTACCAATATACCTGGTTTTTTTTTCCAACAATATTTATGAGTACTTACTATGTGCCAGACACAGGGAATATATCAATGAACAAATACATAGAAACCCTGCCATCATGAAGCACACATACAAGTTAGAGGACACAGTATGTAAAAAAGCAAAATACGTAATAAAACATTTAGGGGCAGAATTAGCAAGTATAAATGCCTCAAGGTGGAAGTAGGCTTGGCCAGTTCCAAGAACAACAAGGAAACTAACAAAAAGGAGAAAGAGGCGGGGTGGGGGGGGGGGTAGGTGCCTGGGCGGTGCGAAGGGGTGGGGGGGTGGTGTGGGTCAGAGGTAATGGATGCCGGTCCATGTAGGGCCTTATAGCCCATTATATGGACTTCGGCTTTTAGTCTAAGACAGAAAATCAATGGAAGTTTTTGTACCGAAGAGGAACATAATCTGACCTCTATTTAAAAGAAATTCCCTGGCTGCTATATTATAAATAGACCAGAGTAGGGGGTTGTCTTGTGCTCTAGTCTACCATTTCTGTAGTACACTGACAAGCTAGCATGAGTGAACCATCCTAAGAAAGGAGAAAACATTTAAATATGGCTACTAAGAGCCACATTTAATCTTCCTATATATGAAATACCACACTGAAACAGAACTCATGAACTCCTAGTATAATAGCCCTGAACAGTGGCATTCAATGGGTAAGTGGGATTGAAAGTGGGAGTCAATGAGCAAGGTTTGAACACAGCAAAACCATTCAGTCTATGAAAATATGTTGAGTAGTCTTTTGAACAAGGGGTTAAAAGATTTGAATATGAACCTTCCTGTGACCCAGGAGCTCATCCCCTCTCTCAAAGACTAAGCTGATGTTCATACTGGAAAAGAAAACCAAGTGTGGGTTTTTGTAAAAAAGCACCAACTTCCACAAATAAGGTTGGAATTACAGATCATAAGTTCAATCAAAGGGTTTAGATTTAAAGAAAAAAAAAAACTACCCGGGCACAGCGGCACACACCTGTAGTCTCAGAGGCTTGGGAGGCTGAGGAAGGAGGATTGCAAGTTCAAAGCCAGCCTCATCAAAAGCAAGGTGGCTAAGCAACTCAGTGAGGCCCTGTCTCTAAATAAAACACAAAACAGGGCTGTGGATGTGGCTCAGTGGTGAGTGCCCCTGAATTCAGTCCCTGGTACAAAAAACAAACAAAAAAACTACTTATTATAACATAATAATGTTTTTAAAACCAGCTCTATAAATTAGCTGCCATAATATTAAAAAAAAAAAAATTGTGCTGTGATTTACTATCCAAAGGCCAGAATATTTCTTAGGACCAAGTCACTGAAAATACAAATGGTTAATAAGCATACGAAAGGGTTTTCAATCTCATAAATTATAAGGCAAATGCACAATACACAGTAAACATGCTGGTAAAATCACAAGTAATACAATTACACCTAAAAAAGACTGGCAACGTTAAATGCTGGCAAGCATGTGTAGCATCATTCTCCACAGGTAAGAATGGAAACTAGATCACTACTTTGCCAAAGTACTTGGTATTATATACTAAAGTTTAATTCATAGAAATCCTATAACCCAACAATTCCACTCCTAGGGATATACTCTCCAGAAACACACACATACACACACACACACACGCACGCACACGCACACGCACCTCAAAGGAGATGAATATAATGATCTCGGGTAGCATTATTCATAACAGTTCCAAACTAAAAGCAATTCAAATATCCATTGACAAAAAATAGATTTAATTGGGCTAGGGCTGGGGCTCAGCGGTAGGGCACTCGCCTAGCACATGCAAGGCCCTGGGTTTGATCCTCAGCACCACATAAAAAAAATAAATAAAATAAAGGTACGGTGTCCAAGCACAACTAAAAAAGGAAATATATTTAATTACACATATACTGTGTAACAATGAAAATAAACTAGTGTATTTGCAACAGCATGGAAGACTCTCACAAATATATTTAGCAAAAAAAAAAAAAAAAGCCAGATGCAAAAGAATGTTTAACTGTACATAAAGTTTCAAATGAGGCATAGATAATCTATAGCACTAGAAAGCAGAAGAGTGGTTGCCTCTGGGAAAGAAGAAAATGGCAGAAATTAGAAGAGATCATGAACATAACTTCTGAGGGACCAAATGTTCTACTTTTTGACCCTGAGGGTTACATCTATTATAGGACAGTTACAAGTTACATAACAATGCTATGCTGGAACTGTTTCTTTTTGACTTGTGAGAGTCAATAATTAAATTTTCAGGAATTTTGTGAGCCAGCTATGAAACACTGCCATTAGTAAAAAGTAAATTACACAAATTTAGAATGTATTATATTTTTAGAAAAAAATAGTACTCAAAATTCCTTTCTTCTAATGACCTTAGCATTATCTATTCTCTGGAGGTTACTCAAACCTACAGTATCTGTATGGTGGAAACACTGTATGGTAGAAGGCTACCTATTCTCACCTAGAATCATTTCAGTGGCATCATGTGGAAATCTGTCACAGTGGAGGTATTTATAACAGAGAAATTAGCAAATGCTATGCTACAAAAAGAGCTGGATTTGTTCTGTTGATTGTCTAGACTTTAGAAGTGAAGAGAAAATTTTTAATAATGCAATTAAACTTAAAAGTGTGTCAGTTCAATTGTTGTTACATTATAAATAGCACACAAAAAAATTCTTCCACATGAGTAAATTATCCAAATTATCAAAGCTGCTCAAGTCACTGGTGAATAAGTGAATTCCAGCATATTTTTATTGTTTAATTACCATCATACTAATAAAAACACATTATCCACCAACATTCATTTCAGCAGTACATTTCCCCATCAAATGCAAATGCAGGCCAGGTACAGATATGAAAATTGGGCCAAATCAGCAACAGCATTCTGTGAGAGTCCACTGGCTCTATGAAATTTACAATAAAAATAATATAAGGTAGTTTACTGTTTATAAATTATGTGCTACACAACTTTTCTTTCAGATTTATAACAAACTCGTGTGTGAATGTGTACTTGTGCACGAGAGTCCTCAAGGACAAGTAAATTTGCTACTACACTAAAAATTCAAATACACAAAGAACCTTGGGCAAGATATGAAATTTCTCTTATCCTCACTTTTTTATATCAATAAAGTGAGCTGTGAGAGTACAGCAGCAGCTTTCAAAATTCTGACCATGACTTAACACAATAAATGCACTTTAGATCATAAGCTAGAATACAAAAATATGTATTTACATAACTAAATTTTTTCTCATACTGTCTTTATTATGGGCAATAAACTGAATTTTCTAGTTTGTTTGTTTGTTTATTTATTTATTTATTTATGCTGATTTTAAAATGAAGCTGACCAAGGTGGGGTATAGGGACAGAGACTATAAAGGATGCTTCCAATATTCACTTTCAAATTACCTCTCAATGGAATAGGATATTTATCAGTTTTACCTAACAGCTTCAAACCCTATCATAGAATTCAGTTAGTTTCAGGAACTGCAGTATTCTAATGAATATTTGAGGGTTATGATAATCAGAACCAAAGAAATACACCTTTCAAATTCTAAGGAAGTTTCCATGAGTTTGTTTAGTTTCTTTTATTTTTAGTGACAGAAAATCCTTTATTTCTGAACAAGTGGAAGGTTTCTCTTTTTTTTTTTTTTAATAAATGGCTTACTTTACAGTGACATTCTGAGTACCTAAATGTCAATAAAAAAAAGCTAATATTTAGAAAATTATTTGAAAACATCATAAATGAAAGACTATCTTATAACCTCCAGACAAAAAGGTATTGGATATTCAAATGCTGCTTGGTTGTTTTGTTCTCGGCTTCAGCATCATTAACACATTTAAAAATCAACATTTACTTATTCTAGATTATTTTTTTCAAATCTAATTCAGATTTTAACAATCTAGTTTGATATGTAAGAATACTACATAATATGGGAGGGGGGGAATACAAAGATATGTGACTTTACAAATTCCATTCTTCTAGGCTTCATTTTTCACTCCTGGCAAGTTACTTTAGCACTATATACCAGTTTTCTCATCTGTAAAATAGCAATAATAAGATACCTACTTCTTGAAACTGTTGCATGAATTATTATGTAATCACTCTGAATGGTGCCTAGCAATAGAAGCATCCAATAAACCATGGCCACAGTTCTTCTCTTATACTACATGAAATTAAAGACAAAGTTCATTATCTTGTTCTAAAAGTTTACCTAAAAGCTAATATCAGAGTGAGGGTTGGACTTCAATCCCTACTTTTATTCTCTAAAATGCAAACTAAGGTTAGCTGAACAAAAATGAGAAACAAAGACAGAAACAAAGATTATACTTAACATACATATTTTCAAGATCCATTTGTATGGCTTTTAATAATGGGGGGAAACCAGCTCAATTTCTTAGCAGGAAATAATTTATTGGTATCATCATTAATTCCAAAAAGGACCTGAGATGGATTCAGCTACTGTTTATGAAAATTTATTTCAACAAATCACAAACAGCCAAAAAATATAATCCATTTTCAGTATCTTCATAAGGTAGAGAGGTACAATATTGTCTTTGACTCTCTCTTTTGAGTAGAAATACCCAGAAAACACCAGTTTTATTCTGTCAGTCTCAACATTCCTAATGCCTAGGAAGCTGGTCTATTTTGAGTCCAATGGAAGTTTTCTCATTAAAGAAAACAAGTCTTATTGCACTTTACAATTTCGGCTAAATAAATTTTTTTTATTTTTAGCAGTAGTAAATCATATTCCTCATCTCATTCTGTGAATCTCCTTTCTTATAAGTCTTTCTCCTACAACTATGTTTTCATTTATTATTCATTTTCATTCCAAATATTTGTTAAAAATACTGTTTTTAAAGTGTCCAAACGATTTGAAATACTGCTACAAAGTATCTGTTTTACTAAATATTTGTATGGTGTCCATGTTTGCTCTCTGAGGTCTTTTACATTGCAGCATGGCCTTCAAAATATAAAGATCACTCAGGTTTTGAATCAGACTCTTCTTTTAACTCTTTCACATTAAAACCATGGACCCTGAAAAGCCAATAAAAACCGTAATACCACCAAAGTCAGGGTTTCAAGTGAGTGAATTACAAAGAGACAGTCTTGCCTTGTCATCTCTCCCTCTTGCTCTACAATCCTTGTCCCTACTTGTAGGTTTCTCACTCTTTGATATGGGATGTGCTCGGCCTACAGGTCCCCGGGCTCCTACTCCTGCCATTTCTTTCCTCAGAGGTCTTACTTCTCGATTGGGACGCCTGATTTGAGGTGGAGCTCTGACAAAAAAAAAATAAAAGTAAAAAATAAAAATTAATCAAGGACAAAAGTATTTTAATACTACCTTAGTAAATAAAACTGTTAAATCAAGAAAGCCCAAAATCTCATCTTTCCAACTCATGACCATGACTACTAGGCTGGTTTTCAATTTTTATTTTTTAAAGCACATTGTTTGATAGAATTATTACATACATATAAATGATACATAAGGTAGCACTTTGCCAAAGTAGCTATTAATCACCAATAGAGGGCAACACAGACCACCCCCTGTAATAAATAATAGCATAATGGAAGACCAATTACTTTACTCATTGCTATCCTAAACCAATAATAGATAACTTTTTAAAAAGCATTAAAAGCTATTCTTGAAGAGTTCAAAATAACTATTTGCATAGTTTACAATTTTTTTAAAACAACCAAGATGTTTTTCTCTGCTTCTGTACTGAAAAATTCAACATTTCACTCATCAAATTACAAATGACAGGACTTAACAATGAAATTTTCTTATAAACAAAGTAATCTCTTTGTAAAAATATTATTCATGCTTTAAAGTGTCCAAAATCACAGGATCATTTAAGTTATACTGCCTCCAAATGTGATTAAGAATCATGATAAACACATGTGTGTGCACACAGAATAGCATATTTTGTTTCTTACAATGTGAAACTTGTCTCCTTCACACAGTAAAGATCTGAGGTTTCTCAGCCAGCATTTAGTAATCTCTGTATCTTGGGTGAGGGACCTTTATCATTTTGTGTCTAATCTTAGTTCTTCTTCCTTGACCAGTCTCTTCAGTATTCCTTCCTTGTTTCTCTTGATGGCTGTGCTCATGTAGCACTTCAGATCCCTTCTAGGTGTTGCTTATTCGTCCCTGTACCATACCTATTATTCCTTTCTCACCCTCATGCTTTTAATTCACCTAACTCATCAGTGAGTTTAATTCCTAGTGTCAGTAAAGTTGACGTAGTATATAACTGTACAAATCCAACAAGATAGAAAAATGGATGAAAAGTTGTAAAGGTGGTAAACTTAGTGCAAAACATTTTGGTGCAAAAAAGTTAAAAAGGGGCCAATGTGTTGCCAGTCTAAATATAGTATATTCAGACTGTTGGAATTATACTACAACCTGAAACTGCAAAGATAAAAATGGATAGTGAAAAACGGTGTCTCCCTTATAGATACAATTAGGTTACCATAACCTGACATCTTACTCCCTGGAGTTCAGTCCAGTTAAATATTTATTGAACGCCCATTAGGTAGAAAACAGCCTATAAGAAATGAAAATAAATAAGCAATCTTGTAAAAAAAAAAAAAATCACTGGAAAGGAAATAGAAAATAATGCATACTAAAATGGATATAAGGCACTTTGAAACTTAAAGTATTATTACATCATTGGTTCTTAGGACATTATTAAAAGTCTTTTCAGCATTCTGTCAATAAAATAAAAATGCAATTAGACTGATAAAGAATTCAAGACTAATAATGATAAACTGCTCTATTTCCAGAACTTCAATGCAACCACTGGGTTTTTTGTTTGTTTTTTTTGGTTGTTTGTTTTTAACCTATTTTTTTTCTATTGTGAAGAGGTAGAAAGTAGGAGTACAACTTTGCTTTTATTTATATATATGTGTGCATAACATCTTTCCTGAATCATATTCATGAGTACAACCAAAGTCAGTATTATGAGACCAACAATCTCAACCAACCAGAACACATGTCAAGTTTGCCCTTTTGTTAGCAGCTATGCCTACTATTTAAACATCTGTCACTGTTTGTGGTCCTGCTTTGTAGACTCAACAGCCAGCCAGCCAAAAGCCTCTCTGCTCACCAACAGCTGGGCCAGCCCTTACAGCCAGAGAGCACAAAGCTCTGCAGCTGCTGGGTCTGCCTGTTAGGCCTCACTGCTTAGGGTCAGTCCTGAGACAGTCCTTCCACCTTAGGTTATGCTTTCCCCCCTGCAACTTGTTATTAATAGTCATGTAGGAGCTCTACCACAGACCATTTTGTATACACATCTAGCTCAGGAAGGCAATGTAGTAGAATCATTTCAAATTATTTCAGAGCTGGCACATAGGCTGCCAAGTATTTGCTGTTGCTGACCTTGTTCTGCCACTCAATATTCTGATGGGCTCATAAATGGTCTGAATGAAACTGCTCAAGTAGCCAGATGTTCCATTTGTGTCAAGTCCCATGTCTCACAGGAAGTGTACCTGTGCTTTGGAAGTCTTCAGTTCCATCTCACTGCAGTTTGATATTACATTTGTAACAGACTCTGACAACTTCCCAAAGGACATCCTTGATTCTGTTCTGTACTTCTTTGTCCATTAGCGCATCACTGCACAATGTCATGCTTCACTTTAAGGACTCAGTGACAGCTTCCAGGCTGTGTAAACAATAAAACTCTCAAGGCTTCTTTTGCTAAGTATCTCTTTAGAAAGACACTTTATTAGGGTTACACAGCATCACTGACCTCTGTCCTAATGGTCAAAAAGACTGACACTATACTAGCCTACAGCATTTCAAATACAGAGAATAACTGATCTAATAACTATTTAGATATATAGATGAAGACAAAAATGTCCACTCTGTGCTCACTCCTCCTACTTGTGATCTCCCTATAGGAATAAGAAATACACCATATTCTCTCTTGTGCGCATGTGCCTGATTTCCTCTGAAATGCAGTTATTTCTTTTTTCTCATCAATGTTATACATGTTTTTATCAATACTGCTTGTAATAAACACCTGAAAATAATCCAAATATCCATTATCAAAATAGGTAAATTACATATTCATAATCGGTCACACTAGAAAAGTGAACATAATTATAGCTACTCAAATAATGACAGATGAATCTCACAACCATAATGTTGAGTGAAAAAACAAGTTCAAAGCACACAGACAATAAGAGTCCAAGCAAAATAAGATACGGCTTGGTGATACCAACATATGTAGTCAAAATATAAAGTGAGGTTAAGGGAAAGATAAGACTCTAAATTCAGAACAGTAGTTGATATCCCTCTCTGAAATAGAGGGAAGGGAACAGGATGTGGAGAAGCACACATGACTTCAAAGGTCATACCGTAAAGTTCTTTACCTTAAATTAATGGTAGGTACATCATAATATATTACCTTGTGATTCTTTATATCTTACATAATTGTGATTTTTCTACTAAGACGTTAATAAAATGTTAAATATGAATTATAACACTAGTTAAATATTTGAGTACCTAAGAAATGAAACTGTAGGGTTGCTCTAAGTTTTAGCATATGCAGGCAAATAAGGGCTCAGATTATACATCTAAAAAACTAAACCTCCTGGATCTGAACCTGGCAAATCTCCATAAAATATCAGGCAACAGAAATAGGATTGTCTGTTTGGTAGACATTCCATGAAGTCTAAGGAAGAGAGACCTCTTCCAAGGGGCCTTGCATCCCATACCATGCTAAGAAACAGGGTCTGCTCTACTGTTACAACTTTCTCCAAGACACAAAGGTTCCTTCCTTCTTAGAGCTACTGAGCATTCCACTTCCCCTTTCTGTTTGGTGATGATTTTAAACTCCTTGGTTACATCTATTTGTCCATCATTGTTAGAATCCTGGCATTTGAGTAAATAATTTGGAACAGGAGGATTTTTGTCCAAGAACTTTAATTCACATTACTTAAAGCTAACTTTTAGAAAAGAAAGACAATCTTACTTTGCTATTACGTTAATCTATGTAACTTTGGAATTAAATAAAAAGGAAAACACAACTCTTCCCATAGGTAATACAAAGATAAGAAACATAAATTTGAAGTACTTCATACAGACATTTTCACTAAAGGATTCAGAGTCAAAACATGAGACTTCTGAATATAAGATAAATTACTTAATGAAAAACAAGCAAAGAGAAAAAAGTTTAAACCTGTGATCTGAAATTATTCAGTGATGATTATAAACTCAGATATCTATTCATCAGATATATAACTTGTTTTTTCAAATTAGAAAATATTTATTGTGTATCTAATAATACAGAAACTATGCTAGATGTTATGATTGTCCTAAAAATACTGCAAACATACAGTGAAACAGAATGGTAACCTGAAATCAGCAGATTTAGAATCCTAAAACCTGAGTACCTTTTTATTCCCAGGTCTACTAATTACTGAATATATGTATGTGCATATCAATATCTACAAGATTCACATTCTTCCTCTGTAAATGGGATGATGATAATAATATATTATGAACTTTTTAACTTTACTTTTCATTTGAGTACAACCTACATATAGTAAAATGAACAACTATTAAGAATACAGCTCAAAAAGTTGTACCATATAACTACCAATTGGTCAAAAACAACAAGCATTTCCTAATATTCCAGAAAGCTCTCTTAGGGCTTTCTCTTGGTCAATACAAGTCCCTATAAATGCAACTACTATTCTGACTTTAACATTATAGATTAATTTTGCCTATTCTTCAGTTTCATATAAATGGAATCCTACAGTACATTTTCTGTGTCTGCTTACTTTCTTTCAGCTTACCTGAAAATGCCATCCATGTTGTTGCATTCATTGCTGTGTAGTATTCTACCACATAAATCTACTAGGTTATCTATTCCATTGAGGATTTTTTTTTCAGTTATAATTAAGGCTGCTATGAATATGAGCATTGTGTCCATATAATGACGACTTAATTCTTCGAGGTATACACTAAGCAGTGAAGCTGCTGAGTCATAAGTATACTAAAGATTAGTTTTATTAAATAGAGTCTTCCAAAGTGGTAATACTGCCAGTTTTCCCATTTTAGTCATTTGGGTGGGGATGTAGTGGTATCTCATCGTGAGCTGCCTTTCTGAAAGGACTACGGATATTAAGCATCTTTTCATCTGCTTTCAGCCTTGTATATATATTTTATTTTGTAAAATGGCTGTTCCAGTCTTTTGTCCATGCTTTCAAAATCATATTCTTTTTTACTAATTTACCGATTATTGTTAAGACAATCATTTGTATATTACAA